AAACTGATGTCTTAAGCATTTGAGTCTTCTGATCCGTGACACAGTACATCTCTCCATTTACTTAAGTCTTTAATTTCTTTCAGCAATGTATTGTAGTTTACAATGTATGAGTCTTGCATATCTTTAATCAGATTTAGCCTTCATATTTTATGTTTTTCTAAGATAATGTAAATAGTGATTTTTTAAACTTTTACATTTCCAAATCTTCATTGCTAGTGTATATAAATACAAATTTTTTTATGTTGGTCTTGTATCCTGAAGTCTTGCTAAACACATGATTAGTTCTAGAGGCATTCTTGATAGATTTCATGGAATTTTCTAAATAGACAATCATGTTGTCTATGAATACAGTTCTACCTCTTCCTCTACAATTTGGATGCCTGTAATCTCTTTTTCTTGTCTTACCGTATTAGTTGGAATATCCAATACAGTGTTGAATAGGAGTGAGAGTGGACATTCTTGCTTTATTCTGAACTTAGAGGAAAAGCGTTCAGTCTGTCATGATTAGGTGTGGAATTAGCTTTGGTTTTTTTGTAAATGCACTTCATCAGGTTGAAGAAGTTCCCTCCATTCCTAGTTTGCCGAGAGTTTTGATCAGAAATGGATGTTGTATTTTGTCAAATGCTTTTCCTGCATCTATTGAGATGATCATATTTTTTTTAATATCACATTAATTTTCTATGGCTGCTGTAACAAAGTACCACAAACTGGGTGTCTTGAACAACAGAAATTTATTCTGTTACAGTTCTAAAGGCTAGAGGTCCAAAATCACCGTGTCAGCAGGGCCATTCTCCTTCTGAGACTCTGGGTAGACTCTTTCCTTGCTTCTTCCTGGTTTCTGGTGGTAGCCGTTAATTCTTGGTGTTCCTAGGCTCGCAGCTGCCTCACCCCAGTCTCCGCCTCTGTCATCACATGGTGTTTTCCCTGTGTGTCTCTGTCTTCACATGGAGTTTTCCCCTGCTTATATGGACACCAGTCATGTTGGATTAGGGCCCATGCTAATGACCTCATCCAAAATTGATTACATCCTTAGAGACCTTATTTCCAAATAAGGTCACATTCATGGGTACCGGGGATTAGGACTTAAATAAATCTTTCTGGGACACACTTCAACCCATGACATATGGTAAATTACATTGATAGCTTTTCAAATGTCAAATTAACCTCGCATCCTTGAGATAAACCCACTTGGTCATAATGTATTATCCTTTTTATGTATTATTGGATTTGATTTGCTAAGATTTTATTAAGAATTTTGCCTCTATGTTTATGAAGGATAGTGGCCTGTGGCTTTTCTTTTTTCTTCTCTTAATTGGTCTTTGTTTAGTTTTGGCATCAGAGTAATGCTGGCCTCATAAAAAGAGTTAGGAAATATTCCCTCTTCTTCACTTTCCTGGAAGAGTGAGTGGGGGATTGGCATTATTTAGTCCTTAAATGTTACATAGAACTCACCAATGAAGCCATTTGAGTCTTGAGTTTTCTTTGTGGGAAGCTTTTAAGCTACAAATTTAATTTCTTTAATCAATATATGACTAAGTTATCTATTTCTTCTTGAATATGCTTTAGTAGTTTATGTCTTTCACGGAATTTGTCCATTTTATAGCATAAAATTGTTCATAACATTCCTTTATTATTCTTTTTACATTTCTCTAATCTATTTTCCTTCCTGTTGTTAGTACCATCAGGTAGATTTTGATTGTACGGCAGAGCAGAACCCTGTCTGGTCTTTTTGCACCATCCTCTCACTTTTCGGTACTATATCAGATAATGCTCCACTGCTATTCAGAGGATTTTCATGGACAATTTCTTGGAAGTGGATGGCTGTGTCCTTCTTCCTAGTCTGTCTAGTCTGGAAGCTCCACTGTAACCTGTCCACCAGGGGTGACCCTGCTGGTATTTGAAATGCCAGTGGCATAGCTTTCAGCATCACAGTAACATGCAGCTGACACAGTCTGACAACTGATAGTGAAGGTGGTGTGGTTCCCTGATGGAAAAAAGGCGGTTGGTGGTGAGAGCACCAAATGTAGACCACCAGGGTTCCTCTCATTCCTGATGGTAGTAATTTGATTCTTCTCTCTTGTTTCCTTATTTCGGTCTGGCTAGAGGGTCATCAATTTTATGGATCTTCTCAAAGAACCCACTTTTGGTTTCATTGATTTTTCTCTTTTGTTCTTCTGTTGTCTATTTCCTTGCTTTCTGCTCTGGTCTTCTAAATTTCTGTTCTGCTTTGGGTTTCATTTGCTCTTAAGGTAGAACAGAAGATCATTGATTTGAGACCTTTCTTTTCAAAATAGGTATTTTAGTACTCTAAATTTCCCTCTAAGTACTGCTTTGGCTATATCCACAGATTCTTATGTGATGTGTTTTCATTTTTATTCACTTTAAAATTCTTTCTAACATTCTCTTTGAGTTCTTTGAACATGGATTATTTAGAAGCATGTCATTTAGTTTCCAAATATTTGGGGGATTTTCCATATATTTGTTATTGATCTCTAATTTAACTCTCTTGTGCTCAAAGAACATACTTTGCAGGATTTAAAAAAACAACAACTGAAGTATAATTTGCATACCACTTTGCATGGTGTAAATCCTTTTAAATTTATTGAGATTTGTTTTATGGTTTAGCATACAGTTTATCTCCATAAATGTTACCTGTGCTCTTGAAAAAATGTGTATCTATTGTTATTGAGTGGAGTGTTCTATAAATGTCAGTGAGGTAAAGTTAGCTGATAGCACTGTTTAAGGCTTCCATATTCCTCCTGATCATCTATCGATTATTGAGTGACACAGATATTAAAATCTCTGACTATAATTATGAATTTGTTGATTTCTCGTTGTAATCCTATCAGTTTTGCTTCATATATTTTGAAACTCTCTTATTAAATGCAAAAACTTTTCGGATTGTTATGTCCAACTGATGAATTGAAATGTCCCTCTTTATCCCTGGTGATAGTCTTTGCTCTGAAATCTTCTTTGTCTGATATTAATACAGCTATGAGCATTTAACATTTTAATAGAACTCACGAAATTTCCTCTCAAAACTCGGTGTCATTATATAAGGTTTTCCCCTGTTCTGGTCCACATTTATTGGTATTTTGAACATGTTTCTTCTAAATTTGTGATGAGTTAGTACCCTTGCTAGGTCTCGGGCTCTCTATCTGCACAATGGTGGCAGTTAGCAGCTCTGCCATCGTGTGTGTGTGTGTGTGTGTGTGTGTGTGTGTGTTTGAGAGGGAGAGAGAGAGAGATTGAGAGTGCAGGCCCCTGTTTAGGTATGGAGTTAAGGGGAAACAAAATAAGGCAGTTCAAGATATCAGGGCCAGATGAATTACATCTCCTGGCAGTGAACTTGTGATCTCAGAGTCACTATTAATAATTTTTAAGAAATGGAGTCTGATAGACATACCCACGATTGGAGACAGGCAACTGTACTTATTCTTTTAATGGGTAGGGAACCCCCCCGCCCACCATTTGTGACATTCAGTAAAGAAAGTGATGAGTACAGGGAGCCAGAAAGGGTTCACTAAAAACTTATTTATTCTATGTGCTGTTAGTTACCCAGTTGGTAGATCTGGAAAGGTCCCCAGGTGCTTTGACCCAGAGAGAGGTGGAACCAAGTAGATTATTAGAGACAAACAGATGTGGGAGCTGCTGGCAGGTAGCACACCATCAACTTTAGACGAGGACTTGGTTTTCCTCTTAGGTGTGTTTTAACACATTAGGTCAGGCCACAGCATCTCCATCAGCCTGGCTGAGACAGCAGCAACACCTCCCAACACACCACATTAAGTACTCAGGTCTAAAGAGCCTCTGTTTTGTAGGCTCTGCAGTCACTAGAACTATAAACAGAATACTGGCTAATTATTGTTTAATTATTGCTTAAAAACCAATTGGCACAATACAATCACTGCATTAATTACCCCATACAGCATCTGCTTTCTTTTTAGCCGTCATCCCCATTCCTCCCCAGCTCCTCTCCCCACTTTAATTGAAATTCAGCTTGCTGTAACACCTCCTTTCTCCTGGCCAACTGGATCTCTCCATTCACAGGAGGGAGAAGAACAAAACAGAGAAGGCCCCGGGGATTAGGGAGTTTTGACAGCCGTCCAAGAGGAGCGCTGAGATAGGGGCCAAGTAGGAGGCAGGACGGAGACAAACGAGAGAGAAGAGAGTGACAGAGGGAGGGAGAGACAGGCAGGGACTCATCGCAAGAGGAAGGAACTGGACAAAGAATCAGAGACGGGTAGAGATGTTTAAGGGGCGCTGAAAAGGGGGGAAAGAAGAGAAAAGCTAAACAAGAGAAGAACTAAGGAGAGATGGTGAGGAAAATGCGAGGGGCTCAGGAGGGGAGGAAGAGAGTAGAGAGCTTGTCAGGAAGGATGGGAAAAAAGTCCAGCCTCTAGGGACAGGTCAGCCCAGCTTGGGGACCGGTCGGGAGAGGAGACGGGCAGGCGGCTTGGGGTTCGCCCTCACACACCTTGGCGCGGGGTGGGGCGGAGGAGGTGGCCGCCGGGCCGGAGCGCGGTCCGCGCGGGGGAAGCGGCTGAGCGCGCGGCGAGCCCGGCGTGCGCCCCGCGGCCGGACTCGCGCGGCGGCCCCGCCCTCTCGGCCGCCTCCTTCGCCGGGCTTTTCCTGCGGGGCTCAGGAAGCCGGCCTAGCGCGGCGGCGAACAATAGCTCGGGCCGCCCTCGGCTCCCGGGGAGGCGCGCGGGGCCGCGGGGAGGGAAGTGCGCGCGCGCGCCGGGAGCTCGCGGCCAGTCCCGGCCCGGGCCGGAGCTTCATTCAGTTCAGCTCGGCGCTGCCCGGGTCATTGTTGGCCGGGACCGAGGCGCGGGAGCCGGGGGAGGAGCTGGGGAGGCGGCGGCGGCGGCCGAGGGAGCCAGAGGGGGAGCCAGAGAGCGAGGGAGGGAGCGAGCGAGCGAGCGAGCGAGGGAGGGAGGAGGAGGTAGAGAGCCAGGGAGGGTGGGAGGGAGGAGGAAAAATAAAGAGGAGAGCCGAGCAGGGCTGAACAATAGAGACGGGCAGACGGGCGAGGAGGAGAGCCAGCTGCCGCTGCTGGCGGAGAGCGGGCGCGCAGGCAGCCCGGATCCCGGCCCCGGGCCCCGGCCCCGGCCAGACAGCAGGCGGCCAGCGCCCCCGGGGAAGGGGTACCATGGGGGAGCCGGCGGCAGGCGCCCCCAGCCCGCCGCGCGCCTCCGCCTGAGCGAGGCTCGGCGTCCTCTGCCCCAGCCCCGCCGCCCGGCCGCCCGGTCGCCCAGCCCCGGGTCCGCCTGGTCTGCGGCCGCTGCGCCCTGAGCCCTCTGCCCATCGGGCGCCCCGCAGCCCTCGGCCCCGGGCTTCGCCGGACCCCGGCTGCCCGCGGACGCCCGCCCCAGTCATGAACCCCCCGGAGGGGGCAGCAGAGGAAGGAGGAGCAGCCGACTCGGACGTGGACGCCTTTTTCCGGACAGGTAAGCCCGGCAGGGCGCGGGGGCCGTGGGTGGGCCGCTGGCGTGGACGCGGCGTCTCGGACAAGTTTGGGGAAGGAGGGCTGTGGCCCGGGCGAGCGTGCTGGGGGGCAGTCCCCCTCGTCGTCGAGGCTGGAGTTGCTGAGATTCTTGTTGTTATGGCAATGCTGGTGGCGTTTTGGGGAGGGGTGGGGGCTGGGAGCTCGGCGCCCCTCGGCATTCACCCCACTTGCGGGAGTCTGTAGGGGAGGCGGGAGGCGGTCCCCTCGGGCCGCTCCTCCCGGAGCGCGGGGATGGGGCGATGTTGGATCACTTTGCAGCGCGCCGCTCCGGCTACCGGCGTCCCTGGCCCCTCCCTCGGCTCCCCTCTTCCCCCAGCGCTGTCAGCCGGGCTCTGGCCCCTGGGTTGGCACGCCTTCTCGGGCCGAGGACCCCGGGCCCTGATGTGCAAAGAGGGGCAGTGGGGACTGGGAGTCGCGCAGGCTGCAGACTGACAGTCAGGAGCGGGGCGGACCCAGGACGGTCATGCCTGGTGCGTGCGGGGAGCCCGCGTCCCGGACTTGAGAGGCAGACCGGGCTCGGAGGGCAGTGGGCGCCTCAGACCTCCTCCTTGTCCTCCTCTTCTCCAGTTCTGGAACGGATGAGCTTTTCATAAGAATCACTCATTCCTGGAAGTGTGAGTTAGCATCCCCCTCATACACACCCACTGAATCTTTGCTTGCCTGTGGTATGTAGAGCGCACAGATCTGTCTTTCCAGCTGTTTGCAGTCCCTGCCACCTCCCATCCCCCAGGTCTATAGCTCCTCCTGTTCCCTGGCTACACAGCCCCCTCCCCAGAACAGACACCGACCACCCCCCTCTCACCACCTGTGGCCCTGCTTCTCTGATGGCCAGGGATTCCTCTTCTCCCTTTTACCTGTGGCTTCCACCAACTTGGTAGGTAGAGCTGCTCATCTCCCGTGTCTGGAACCATTTTGTCCGGAATCTTTGTCCCAAGGAGTCCAATAAGTTATGGGGGCCTTGTGCATCTGCCCTCTTGTTTGATCAGTTGGATTAGAGGACGTGAACTGGTGGGGTCAGGGATCAGGTTAGCTCTGCAGGCTCTCTGCACTTCCATCTGTTTCCTAAACTCATTGCCTTGCCCTGGAGGTCATCTCTAGGGAAGGGGGTGGGGTGCTTTGTTGGGGAGACTTGTGGCTTTAGAAGTCAAGACTCGATTGGCCTGTATGTTCATTTTGTAGTTGGTCTGGAGAGGAAAGAGCCAGAGGACAGGAGCTGATGCCAGGGCCTGGAGAAAGCAGAGGGAGCCCCTGTTACTCTATCCTGCCTCCCAGGGTGCAGTCTTACCTCCCTCCATCCCTCACTCCTTCCTTTTCCCCAGAGATGGTTTCTATATACACATTCTCTCTCTCTCTCTCTCTCTCTCTCTCTCTCTCTCACACACACACACACACACACACACACAGAAAGTCACACACCCTGCCCAGGACCCAAAGCATGGATTCTAAAGAGGTTCCTGACCTGAGTTTATAAGCTGGCATCTAGGAGAGAGGTTCTGGGGGGCCTAAGTGGTACCTGGAAATGTTCACTCAGCGGCCTGCGCCTCCCATCTGGGGCAAAAGTCTGCCTTTTCTTAGCTCTGGGGAAAACTCTTGAAGTGTGAACCTTCCCACCTTCCCTTTCTGGACCCCACTTTCATCTTTTGGCAACCACTCCTCCTTCCTCTTTCCAACCATCCAAACACTAGTTCCTGTTCATTCTCTGTCCCAGGCCCTTGGAGCAGAGCTCAGTTTCTGAAGGCTTGCTAATTTCTGACAAATGAATTCACACAGTGTTAATGGTGTTAATGGCCTATAATGGTTCAGTGTGTTACTTTTCCCAGGGCCTTTCAAAACGCAACATGTGCCTTACATTGTCTAGCCTTGGCTCAAATCACAGAGTAAATGGCAGACTGGGGTCTGTCTCCTGTGGGACTCCTGTTGGGGATTTTCTCCTTCCTCCTTGGGTAGCCTTTTTGAGCAGGGGCTGGGTCTGATGTGCACTTAGAATCAGAGAAAGGGTAAGTCTTCAATGCACAGGGCTGGAAGTGACTGATGACTGTAACAAGTTGCAAGAGGGAGTGTAGGCTGCCCTGGCTGGGTCTAGGACCACTCCCTCCCACCCTGAAGTGGCCTTCTGTGCTCTGCTTCCTGATTTTGCCCCCTCTAGTCTCTAGCCTGGGCTCATGCTGGGGATTCTTAAGCTGGAAAAGCCTGTATTTCTTAACCCTCTCCCTTCTGATTCCCTGTCTTTATGGAACATAGCACTATACCTGGTAGGCTAGACAGATTATAAATTCATTCACCTGAACAATTGAGAAACCTTCAAACACATTTTCAAAGTCCCTAGCACCAGGGTTACCCCCTACTTTCTGGTGGAAAATTTTACATGTACAAAGACCAGACTGGCAATTGCTTTGTCAAAACCCTTGCCTAAGGTGCTTCTAATTAGGCATGTTGAGAATAGTTCTGTCATTTTGGTTCCTTACTTGTCCTCTTTTGATTATTTTGGTATTTCAGTTCTCTCGACCAACTGATGAAGCTAGATTCCCTAAATCTCATTTCCCTGCATGCACATGGACACTAACAACCCCTCCCCCCAGCCCGATCTTCTTGTAGAGTGGTGGATTCCATAGCATGTTCCTGGGAATTCTCTGTCCCAAGCCTGGGAAAAGTGTGTCGCAGTAATTTTATTGATCATAGTTATGAGGCAGAGGAGGGGAAATATGGGAACTCAGAACTGGGAAGAGAAACCATTTGGAATAGAAAACCTCACAAGGACTTTTCAACTCTTACTAGGAGCCTTCTGCTGTCCAGGGTGCTATGGAATACAAACGAAATATTCAAAGTGTTCTTTGACTTTGAGGAACTTTAAAAAGAAGATTGACAATTACTGCTCAATTAGAGATTAATTGCTAACCATTATGGTGCTTTAAGATAAAAAGTTGATGGAACTACAGAGGAGTGGAGCTGAGGGGAGCCCTTGAAAGGGGATGGAGAGTGGGAGGAGCAGCCTGGGCAAAGGCACAGAGGAGGTTGGGGTATTGACATCGAGGATCGAGGATCGTGGGGCAGACTGAGTGGAAGATGTAGGTTAGGGAGGAATGGGAAACAGGGATGGTAAGGAGGGCAGGGCCAGATAGGGAGAGTCTTGGAAGCCCCAGAGAGGAACTTGGGTTTGATACAAGGGCAGTAGGGAGGTTCTTGAGCAAGGGCTCATCCTGAAGGAAGTATTTAGAAAGGTTAATCTGGGGGTAATATAATTGATGAGGCAGAGAAGAGAGGGAAAGAATCCAAGCAGATGCAAAAGTGATCCGGAGCTGAGAAGGAAGGGGCTTGGTCTGGATTGGTGGCGTAAAGGATGGGGAATGAGGGGCAACTCTTTTTTTTTTTTTTTGAGGAAGATTAGCCCTGAGCTAACTACTGCCAGTCCTCCTCTTTTTTGCTGAGGAAGCCTGGCCCTGAGCTAACATCCATGCCCATCTTCCTCTACTTTATATATGGGACTCCTACCACAGCATGGCGTTCCAAGCGGTGCCATGTCCGCACCCAGGATCCGAACTGGTGAACCCCGGGCTGCTGAGAAGTAGAACGTGGGAACTTAACCGTTGCGCCACCAGGCCAGCCCCCAGGGACAACTCTGAGAGACATTTTCAGAGGCAGAAATGTGGGGGATTTCTTGACAAACTAGTTATGGGGGAAAAGGAAATTAAGCCCATGAGGAAACGGAAGTAGCTGGGTTAAGAGTGTAGAGGACTGAAAGTGTCCCAACTGACATGGTCAGGTTGAGACCAGGAGCCAGTTTTGTGGGCAGATAATGACATTAGCCTTGGACATGGAGAATTGGAGATGATGGAGCGACATCCAAGTGGAGTTTTGTGAGTAATGTGGGACTCAAGACATGAGCATGGGCAGGAGGTTAGGGCTGGTGGTGCGGACTTGGAGGCCTTCTGGGTCAAGGCTGGATGCAGCCGAAGCTTTGTGAATGCATTGCCTCTCAGAGGGAGGGAGTGGAGGAAAGAGGGGAAGGGCTCAAGTTAGAATTTTGGGGAGAAACTCTTATTTAGGAAGTGGCAGCAAAGGAGATGTGATCCTGGAGACCCCAGGGAGTAAGCATGGCTTCTGATGTGATGACAGGCTGCAGACAGGTTGAACAGGAGGAGCGCTGGGTAAGTGTCACTGGTTGTGATGAAAAGAAGGCCACTGCAAGCTCTTGGGAGCATAGTGTTAGAAGAGGCATTTGGAGTAGGGATTTGGGGTGATGGATCGGAATCAGTTCCTTGCGGAGTTTATCAGTGAAAAGAAAGAGAGGTTGGGTGCTAGTCAGAGTGGGTGTTATTAATGTCAGGAAAAGGAGTTTTCATTTTTTGCCAGAGAGTCAGAAGAGATTTGGACATGGAACGGAGAAAGCTAGGGGACGGGAAAAATGGAAGATGCTAGATGGATTGTTGAGTTAGGACCTGAAGAGGTGAGACAAGAGCAGGTTCCCCAACACAAGGAAGAGCGTAGTTTTGGTGAGCAGAGGAGAAACCTCTTCCGTTAAGACTCAAAGGAAAACAATTAAGAGGTTAAATGAGAAAAGAGTGATGTGGAAATATCTCCTCCCTGTGTCTTTCTGCTGAGCTTCAGTCCTGTGAGTCCAGATATTTTCACCTGGAGGGTTTGCTGTTCCTTGAGCTTCGGCCAGACTCTAACTTGACTCCGTGTGTCTTTCCAATGGCCCAAACCAGATCCTTCTCTTGTCTTCTTTAATTCTGTAAGTGACATCTTCTCTCTCCCAGTCATGATATTTAAAACTTTGGTATTGTCTGTGAGGACTCTCTCTCCTCTAACAAACTCTATTGACTTATCGTTCATAGTTAGCCCTTGTTGTTCATCTGCGGGGTCTCTGTGAGAGGCCAGGACCCATTATGCCACCCATGGACTCCTTTAGTGGCCTTCATTCTTTCCCCCTGGAATCTGCTC